TCCTTTGATTGGGAGAATTTTGATTTGGAGAATATTGTCTTCTCCACAACAGAGAGATCATCCATTGCCAACAACCATTCCTGGACATCTAGAATAATATCTCTTTTCTAATTTCTTAATATCATTCTTTTTGCCACCCCTCTCCCCCATGCATGATACAACCATAGTTCCTGATAAACAGTCAACTTCTGAAGCTGTGGTACCTAATTCAACACTACATGAACATTTTTTGCATTTAAAGGTTTCCCCATATATCTACTAATATACATTAATACACTTTAGAAACTAAACGATGACATGATTATATCATTTAGGTCAGTGAGCCTCCAAAATTCTTACATCTCCAGGATGGGAAATCTAATATCCATCCCTTCAAATGCATTCTTTGGGGAGTCTAAGCACCCTATAGTCAATTTTTGGGCTGAATCAACCTTCATCTCAAATCTGTTGATACCATTTTAACATTTTTCAGAACCTGAAGCCATTTCTGTGACTCTATCAGACATTCCTGTTCTTTAGTCCATAAATGAAATATCCCAGAAATGTCCACCTTAAAATTATTCTTGAGCTTTTGAAAAAGATATGTCATAGGTTTTTATTTCTGTTGTGGATTCCATTTGGAAAGAAAGCAACTCAGAGGCCTTTAAGGCAGCCAAAGCATTTGGTCCATCTTGATCCGTTAGACCATGATTAAGCTGAAGATGCCTCCATTGTAGTGAACTGGAATTCAATTTGAAGGCAAGAAATACCCTTAAAATAGTGATTCCCTAGTAGTTGATTGAAAGTTGTAATCCCAGTTTCTGCCCCAGCTTTCCAATGAAATTATTTACCACCAAAGATACAGATATTAAAGAGTCTCGTTACCAAACTTACGTTACGTCCCAATATGGCCCAAACATTTCTCATTGGTCATACTCCTGGAAGTAGCACACTTTTTCTGCTCTTGGTTGTCCCAAGCACTATCCATGATCACAAAGGAAATAGAGAATAATTTCCCAGTTTAGCTCGTAAGGTATATTCCATTATATTTTCATTCTCCAGCAGGTGGCTGATCAAATATTGGCTCAATGATATTTTTGCAGAGCAGATAAATTAAAGCTGCCTTCCTCTAATGTTAAACTCGATTTGGCTAAGGAAAAGCTTGGTGATCCACCTACTGAAATTAATTTCCTAAATAACTTTTCAATCCAAAGGAAATATCAATTGAATATTACATAGGAATACCTCTAAGAACATGAAACAAATAAGAGGCAATGTTCATTTTAATAGCATTAACTTTACCCCATAGACTTAAAGGAATTTTAAGCCATCGATTAACATTCATTTCAAACCTTTCTAAAAGATTCAATTTTTTCCCACTTGTTTACAAATATCTTTCAGCCCCCAATATTTAACATAATCTGTAGAAATCACAGATCTTATCTCTTCACATAACCAAAGGTCATGATCCTTTGGTGACAGGTCAGTATCTAAAAGGTATTCTAAACATTTGACAGCACCAAAACATGTGTCTTCCATTTTTACAAGCATCATATTTTGGTTATTTCTCTGATTCCAATGATGTTCCTTCTGTAAACTACACTAGGAAGTCCAAAGAGTGGAAATGGAACTCACAGGTCAAAGTTCCAAACAAAGGAACTGACAGAGTAGATCATTATTACTGCCGGTACCAATTAATAATAAAAAAAATTGATATCTTTTCATCGTAAATGAAGAACATTCAAAAGCTATCATTCCACCAAAAACCATTTCTGGAATTCAAACTTGATTGAAGCAATGGGTTCAAACACTGGGCTATGAGCTTTGACCGGCTGTTTGCTCTATCCTTATGAGTTAGGCAAGCTAAAATAATGGTACAATATCTTTGATGCGTAGTCTTCCCACTCCTCATCTTGAAGCACAGGATTGCTTCTCCAAACAGGTCTATGTTTAGATTTTGGGGAAAGCAGGAGGTTTTTTTCTTAACACTTTCCAAACTGCTTCTTTCACTTCATTGTTCCTAATGGTGTAAATGAAAGGATTTAGCACTGGAGTAACCATAGTATTCAGCCAAGAAACAGACTTGGTTACACTTAAGGAAGAATTCTTGACAGTAGGTCTTAGATAGACAAAACAGACCGACCCATACAAAATGCAGACTGCAATCAGATGAGAAGCACACGTAGAATAGGCCCTGTGCTGTCTGGTGTTTGAAGGCATTCGAAGAATGGTGCAGATGATGAAGAGGTAAGAAATGAGGGTAAAAAGAAGGGAGGACATTACCACAACCACAGTAACAAGGAAGCCAAGGGCTTCAATAACCTGTATATCTCCTCCTGCAATCTTCAGCACAGGTCCCACATCACAGTAGAAATGATTGATAATGTTAGACGTACAATAGGGTAGGTTTGTAATCATTACTCCCTGATAAAGAATGGAGAAAAAGCTTCCACACCAGGCAGCTACTGCTAGCTTAAGGCACAACCCAGGAGTCATGATAATGGCATATCTCAAAGGATGGCAAATGGCTATGTATCTGTCCAAAGATATCAGAGCGATGATAAAAAATGCGGTGACCCCAAAAAGGAAATAAATGTACAACTGTGCCATACAGCAGTAGAAACAGATGGAACGGTTTGCAGAGAGATAATTGACGAACAATTTAGGAATAAAGGTTGTAGTGTGCCCAATGTCAATGAAAGAAAGGTTGCTAAGGAAGAAATACATGGGCTTCCGAAGGTGGTGATCCATGATTACCATCACAATGATAAGCCCGTTGCTCATCAGACACAGGAGGTAGAGCAGCAGGACACAGGCAAGTATCATATTTTCCATTCCCTGAGCACTTGGCAATCCAACAAGAATAAATTCAGTTACTCTTGTACAGTTAGTCAAATTCATGTTCTCTTCTGTTAGAGAAAGAGAAGATATGGAATCTTCATTGAATCAAGATTTAGCTACATTTCTAAACAAATTTTTCATATACTCTGGTTGTGATTGCAACACAGGGAACATAAGACTGGATTTTCACATTTAGTTAATGAAAGTTATGTAGTTGAATAAGACATTTAAAGGTAAATATTTGAGTTCTGATTTCTAAAGGCACATCACTGGAATTCCACAAAACATGAGGCCAAAATCTAATAAGAACTGCTATAGCTAAGTGTGATGTGTGAAATTTGCTACTGTTGTAAATTAAGAGGTAATCTGGGAATTGTTCAATGTATAATGACAATTTTGGAAGTTGTAGTCTAGATGTGAAATATTTTGATACAAATTAGAACTTGGGAACCTGGGAATTCTAGGGTGACAGACACCCATAACTCTGTGCAGAAAGGCTCTTTATGTTGTTACTTATCTAAAGAAGAGAGCAGTAAAATACTGAAAAATAAAATACGTTGTTATAGTAGAAAAATGATGAAAAAGAAGAATGTTTATAGATGACATGGGAAACAGAGAGGTGAGGCGGTTGAGAATGAATGAATAGGGAAGTGGTGAATGATTTAGTGAAACCAAATTATAGGGAAAGAGTAATGAAAGGATGGAAGACTGTATTATGCAGTAAAGAGAATATTACCTGAGAATCTCAAGAAAAAGGAATATAAACCCACCTGATACAGACAATGGGATTCATTTATGGTCACCCAAAGGATCCACCAACAGAGATGGTTTGAAAAATACATTAAGTCAAATCCGTTCTCTTCATTGCCCCAGAATGACCTGGATTTTGTCCTTCCCCTTGTAGGAAAAAACAAAAGGAATAGATTTCCATACCCAGAAAGCTAGTCTTTTGTGGAAATAAAAAATCAATTCCTTGTTATTGTTGATGGATGGGCTTAACAGCTCTTCCTGTCCAAGTTATTCTCTGCAACGTTTTTTCCCCATGGATTCTTTGCCTGTATCCCTATACTAGAAACATGATCAATAATACTGCAATTTAGATATTGAAGATGTAAATAAATCACAGGCTATACAAATAGAAAAGCCAAGATGTTTCTCTCTGCAGGTGGATCTGTGTAAGTCATTCTGTCCCATGTGGCTGTTCTATAAAACATGAACCTAAAGATCTCTCCACCTTTACCTTGACTTGTTCTTTCTTCATTACCTGCCTTGGTTTCTCCAAGTGCCTTTCACTCCATCTCTCTATCCATTCAGCAAGACAATGTTGTAAAGAACCTTGGAAAATGATGCATCATGTGTTGGGGAAAAAATTGTAGACTTCTTCAAAAATATTTTCCTTACCATTTAAAGAACATATAACAGATTGCATCATAGGAAGTTTATTTACTGATTCTGAACAGAAGCTTGGGATACAGTCTCTCAGGATATTTGCTTTTAATTTCCCATGAGTGTCCATGTGCCTAGAATGTAGTCAAGGTTGTTATTATTTGGAGCAAACTTCAATTGCCATCCCAAGGTAGGAGGTCCTCTGAAGGTCCTCTGGATGTGATCCAACAAAGATAAACTCTGCAATTGCGAAAAGAGAAAACACAAAACCTTTAGTGATGCAGCACTTAATTTTCTACAGAAGGATGAGATAGAATTTCTAGAAATAATTGTCTCTCAACTCCCATAAGTATCCATAGACTAGGCCCAGCATATACAATTTTGAATCAGCATGACTCATGCCTGGTTTTATATGGGCCAATTGCAAGTACCATTCCCAGAAATGGAGTCTTAAATATATTATGTAAATCTTTCAAAGATTGTTCAAAGTCCCAATAAAAGAAGGAAGGACCTGATTGGAGATTATGTCAGTCAATAATAAGGCCCCCCTTATTCATAACCTTATTGGGGAGGAGCAGGCTGACCTGGTGTGCATCACCAAGACCTGGCTGGCACCAGAGGGGGGAGTAGCCCTCTCGGAATTGTGTCGAGCCGGGTTTAGGGTTTGGCACCAGCCGAGACCCCAGGGCAGGGGAGGGGGAGTGGCAGTGGTTATCAGGGAATCCCTATTGGCCTTCAAGGGCCCTGCTCCACAAGTGGCTGGATGTGAGACCCTGTTCCTGAGGTTGGGCACACAGGATCAGTTGGGAGTGCTGCTAGTGTACCAGCCACCTGCTGCATAGCAGCCTCCCTGCCTGAGCTGCTGGAGGCCATCTTGGGGTTGGCAGTGGAGTTCCCCAGACTTATGGTCTTGGGGGACTTTAATCTGTCATCCCTGGGGTTGGCCTCAGAGGCGGCTCGGGAGTTCATGGCTACCATGAAACCATGGGCCTGTCCCAGGTCATCGGTGGCCCGACCAGGGATAGTGGTCACACCCCAGACATGGTTTTCTTGTCGGAGCAGTGGCAGCGTGATCTGGTGGGGGACTTTATATTATCCCCCCTGTCATGGTCAGATCACTCCCTGGTGGTGGTGGGATTGTCCTATGCTGTCCCCCTCCACAAGGAGGTGGGACCTATTCGAATGGTCCATCCCCAACAACTGATTGGCCCGCACGAGTTCCAAAGGGAACTTGGGGTTGTTCCTGAGGCCTTGCTGCATGGCCCAGCAGAGGCTCTGGGCACAGCCTGGAATAAGGAGGCGGCTGGGGCCTTGGACAGGATCGCACCTGTGCGTCCTCTCTTGGCCCATCACCCCCAGCGCTCCCCGTGGTTCACGGAGGAGTTGAGGGAGCTGAAAAGGGCTAAGAGACTTCTAGAGCACCACTGGTGGAAAACTGGGGATGAATCAGACCGAACATGGGTTAGAGCTGCTATTAAGGCCTACCTAGTGGTGGTAAGGGCGGCGAAATGTCAACATTTCTCCGCTCTTATTGCATCCTCAGGGTGTTGCCCTGCAGCCCTGTTTAGGGTCACTCGGGCCCTCCTGGGAAAAGGGGGGGGGGTGGAGGACTACTTGCAGGGTCGTGCAGAGGAATTTTCTGAACACCTGATGGATAAAATCGCTCAGATCCATTCTCAGTTGGAAGCCAAGCATGGAGCAGGTCCAGAGGAGTTACCCGGGGAGCGTTCTTGCCCAGTTATCT